CCGAAAAACCTTCTACGTATTTTGACATAATTTTATACGATTATGTCAGAATAGATGAAGGTTTTTTGGACATCTTTCGTCGGAAAACGGATGCATGAGACTCCAGCTTTAATATTAAAAAACGCATGACCTTTTTAAATATTTATCCAATGAAGCTGAGTTTTTTTTTAATGTGCTATGTGAGTAATACTCCATACAAATGTGAAATGAAATGATGTTAATGAAATTTCACTGAACAAGCCTATTTTAGTTGCACTAAGGGAGGATTTTCATGCATCCGTTTTTCCGTCGAAATATGTCCGTTTAACATTCTATTCTGACATATTTATATACGATTATGTCAGAATAGAATGTTAAACGGGCATATTTCGACGGAAAAACGGATGCATGAAAATCCTTCCTTAAGCGTTATACACCCAGACGTTCGGGTTTGAAAAAAGGACGATTCAAAACAATCGCACAGTTCATTATTGAAATTTGTAATAGCCGAGTGAGCGGCTGTCATTTTATTAATTGATAAACTGTGTGATTGTTTTGAACCGTTCTAGAATCGTCATTTTTGCGAACCCAAAAGGGCCTCAAGATTCGGATCTATGAAGAAGCTATCCCAGGACATTAATTTGACGTTTTCTTTCGTTGAAAAATGGCTCTAGTACTCGAACCAACACTGCTGGTGTTCGTTTTTGTCGTCTTTTCCATCGATTCGCTCCGAAATTTTGACAGGCACGTGATTTGTATTAAATTGAAACTGTCTTATCCAGTGACGTGCCTGTCAAAATAATATAAAGTCTGTTTCTTTTTAAAGATAAAAATCAAAATGACATTCTGTTGGCAATACAATGTAAAATTGTCAATACTTTCAAATTTTTTATGTAGAAAAGGCTTGTGTTGCCAACATAGTTACTAAATTTTTGACTTGGGGAATTATCTTTAAAAAAAAAACAGACTTTAGGCAATTTTTCGCGAGGATAACCAAGCATAATCTTTTGCTGGATTATGTGATGTGTCAATTGTGCAACTGTGTCATACTCCATACTTCCCTAACTCCCCCACCATTAAATTCTGAGATACTCGAGGATCAAGAACACTTAATTTCTTCTGTGAGAACAGACCGAAAATCACCTTTTCTACAATGACAGCAAATATCCAGTTAAGTTACCCAAAATTTTGTAGAGGGCGCGAGTGAACTTGGACTGCTTTAAATTTTGGCGGTAAATGTCAATAGTCTTAAACCGTTTAAATTGAGTAGAAGGAAAGATGACTACATATGGACAATGGACATTGAATAAGTTAAAATATCTTCCAAAGTGTTCAGTGGCCCTTAGACAATATTTTTAAGTGTCAGCGTCAGGTTGTCTTGAAACCACACATCAAACTTAACTTTTGAGGTTAAAATTACAATCGATCTCAAATATTCTTGCTTTCAAAAAAAAGATTGACATTGATAAATAATTCACCCATAAAAAATAGATGTTCTTTAATAGCTGAAAAAGTGGGGATGTTTGTCAACTTCCCAGAGAAAAGAAAGGAGCCTTCCGCGTTTACTTTTTGTCTGGCAATCGAGACAATAAAAGGTTTTGTTGGGAAAATAACGCTAAAAAATCGCCAGACGGTAATCACAGTTCGAAAACCAGAGAATTATTTTTAGTACAAATAAAATTAAGTTTTCCGGCAAAACATTCTGTGGACTCGAACAGAGGGCAGACATTTAAGGCCCGTATTCATAGTCGATGCTCAAGGTTGCGTCTTGGCTCAAGTACGGAAGTACGACTTGACGCCATATTTGCTATTCCAAACAACACGGAACGATGCTCACAACTGTCACAAATCGGAGCTTGAGCCAAGAGGCGGTTACACACGGACGTGGATGTCTGGAAACATGTACGCACATACATGAACGCGCAAACAAAAACATCAATGTGTATGCAAAATATCGTCGCGTTTTTGAATGTGCAATTTTGTATGCACACTCGGAATACTGTAGCAAGAATAAGCCGGTTACACACGGACGTGGATAACTTAAAACATGTACGCACATACATGAACGCGCAACCAAAAACATCAATGTGTATGCAAAATACCGTCGCGTTTTTGAATGTGGAATCGCCAGAAATTTTGTACCTATACACACTCGGATTACTGTAGCAAGAATAGCAAGACTGAAGTTTTGTGCGAGCGTCTGTACAAACGCGACATGCACGTTGTTGTTTGCACGTTGATGTATGCACGTATATGTATTAAGACATCCACGTCCGTGTGTAACCGCCTAAGCACCCGTCTATGAATACCGGGCTAAAAACCACTTATATTTTCATCAGCTAACTAGCCACATTCAGCCCTCAAAATGCCAGACAAAAAAAAATGACTCCACTAAACAGGCCCTATCCTATCTCAGGGTCTAAATCGCAAGCATTCCATCGATTATGCTTGATTATCCTCGCCAAAAATTGCCTATTTCATTGCGTAATCAAATGATGAGATAAATTTCATAAATTCAAAGCGTATTGAGTCTCATTTGTCAATCGCTTGCCACTCATACTAGCACGACCTAGCTGTTGAAGTAAAAAGTTTCAATTCAAATATGCGCATATAAGCCGCTTTCCAGCTGACGCTTGCGAGCACGCAATCGAGCTTTTGCGCGCGCAAATGCTTCAAGCGCGTGATTGTGTTCCAGCCGTACTGCGCTTCGAGAGCTGCTAACTTTTGCGTTTCAAACATAGAACACTTGCTGCACCGTGCTTGAAGCACACAGCTGGAAAGCGGCTTTAGTATACACTACTCTGAGGACTCTGAGGTATACACAGGTTTTTTTTTGCTTTACTCAATGTAGGCCGCCGAAGCCCAATTTTTTGGCCTTATGTATAAATAACTATTTATTGATGTGTTGTAATTCAACCTCCATGGTGCATACTTGAGCTGGGTTCGGCTATTCAGCGCAGAGTTGGAATGGAGTAAACAGAGTTAATGGAGTCACCCCTAATACGGTTAAAAGCTCAGAGTAACACTACATAAATAGAGAGGGCAAGTCATTCATAAAATCATTTGGTTTCTGCGGCCAACAATCCTAAACGACAATAGTGGATTGATGAATGAACTACATGGAGTGGGGATAAGATTGCGGACAATGCGGACCAATTACAAACAAAAACCGTTTGACATTTCTTACTACGAATACTACAGCGCATTCGCGCAGTGTTGCCAACAGTATTTTTTTAATTCCGTCAACTTTGCTGTAGATTTCCGTCAAAAATCCGTTAAACCTTTTTTTTTTCCGTCAATAAAATCCGTAAGAATGAAACATGCGAAATGCGCTAAACAAATAAAATTTATTCAGTAGTGCCAACCAAATAATGCAGAGTTAACGACATTGACGGCAGTGCCATTTGATTTCAGGCGTTTTTAGAAACACTGATCCGTTTCACCCGATCACCAGAGGCATTTTCTTGCGTCTCAAATGTTTCATAACATTTTTCAAAACTGGTTTGTAATGTCACCATGACGTCATAATTTCTCGGCGTGAGAAAATGGTTTGAAAATGTGGATTAGATTGCATTTCGAAACAATTTGAACCAATTTTGACGTGATGTCATGGGTTTATCGCGAGAATGTACTGTTTCAAAATAGTTTTGAACCAGTTTTAAAAAAGTGGACGCGAGAAAACGCCTCAGGTGTTTGTATTTTATCTTTTTTCAATGAACACCATTGAAAAAAGACAGATAATATCAGCTGGTGATCGGGCTAGTCGGATCAACGTTTCCGTAAAGGCTTGTTTACAGACCAAAAGTAGCTTGAATCGCTAAACAACCAGTTTATTACATTTACAGAACATAATTTAGAATTTTTAAACGGAAACTTTGTTCCCGTTAAAAAATCCGTCATCCGTTGAAACTGTTTGTTTTCCGTTTCCCTCCACCAAAATCCGTTAGATATGACGGGAAATCCGCTAAGTTGGCAACGCTGCATTCGCGGTTATGGTCGGGCTTGCTCTGGAAACATTTGCATCCTTTTTTATCTGGTTATCTTAACAAAGATAAAACGATTCAGGTGGGCGTTCCTAGACGAATACAACCAAGTTCCGAGATTTTAGGCAGTGTTGCCATTTTCAGCTAGCACAAATTCTTATTCAAATTTTATTGTGACAAAAGATTATTATTTTATATAATAATTATTCCTATTCAATTTTGGAAAGCACCCCGATATTTTCTGTTATAATTGTATATACATATACCTATCTAGGTTTTTATATTTACGATATATTTTTTTCAATTTCCAATTCCATTTTCCCTGCAACTTAGGACAATTTATACATATGGCACATCTGCAGTAAGTGTCCGCAAGTGATCTTAGAATGGGAATCAATGTTTGGGGCATTTTTTAATCATAATAAACCTATCTATTTCATAAAAGCAATACCCGAACCTTAACCCGAACGGCTGGAGTGCCAATGGAGTCACTCGGAGTGCACAGAGTGAGCAAGCCGAACCCACCTTTGATAGAGTTCTGTTTTTGGTTTCTGCAGAAATCACAAACCAGTCGGAGCAAATTTCATTGGTTGAAAACGGTCAAAACAAAACAGTCAAAAAACCAGTTTCAACCAATGAAAGCCGCTTTCCAGCTGTGTGCTTCAAGCACGGTGCAGCACAGTGTTTGAAACGCAAAAATTAACAGCTCTCGAAACGCAGTACGGCTGGAACACGAACAGGCGCTTGAAGCATTTGCGCGCGCAAAAGCTCGATTGCGTGCTTAAAAGCGTCAGCTGGAAAGCGGCTGAAATTCACTCTGACTGGTTGGTGGTTTGTGATTTTTGTAGAAACAGACCTTAAATAGATATGCGTTCAATTTTCGTTCAGTGCAGCTCTACGCCTAAATAGTTCCATGGTTGGTGTGAGAACGAGAACCTCAAACCTTGGAAATCGCTATTTGATTTGGCAACAGCGCGTCATTGGTACTTGTGATATGTCGTTTTGTCAACCTCTGTTGTCATTGTTGTCAACCATCTGGTAAATAACGATAGATTTTCGATTTTCGTTTCTCAATTCTCAAAAATTGAATCTGCTCAAAAATGGCGTCCCCAGATGTATCTCTGCAATTGTTATCCCCGCTAGATATTGCAAAATTAAAGGTAAATTCAATATTGGTAGCTGAAAGTCTATCCTCAATATTCCTCAACAATTTCCTCCAATCATTCTGAGGCAACACCAACAAAAATCCCTTCATTTTTCCCGAATACTCTCAAAGTTTGCCTAAGAAATTAGGTTAGATGATTTACAAAGCTGTTTTTTTTTTCATTTTATAGGTTCCCGAATTGAAAAAAGAATTAAAGTCTAGGGGCCTTAGCAGCACAGGCAATAAAACTGACTTAATTGAACGGCTATCAAGGGCAGTTTGTACATCTGAAAAAATTACAACAGATTCTATTGATGATATAGAAGAGGATCTTTTGAATGTAAGGGTTTAATTTTTCATCCCGAACCTGAATTTAATGTTCTCAAATGTTATTTTAGGATGATGATGATGAACAAGAATCCATCACTGCAGAAGACTTTGAAGAAAGTGCTCTAGATGATTTACCAAAGACTCCAAAAACACCACCAAAGCGAAAAATCGATGATGATGATGATGAGGAGAAGGCAGGTCCTCCCAAAAAAATTATATTGAAAAGACCTACAATCGAAAAATCTAAAATTTGTGTAGAAGACCCAGTACAAGATAAAAAGGTGGGACAAGATGATGTAGTTACAGAGGAAAAATCTTCAGAAGATAATAATAATGATAAAAAAATTATAAAAATATCTGAGCTTACTGTTAAAGACAGATTAGAGATGAGGGCAAAGAAATTTGGTGTTACAAATCTTAGCACTGAAGCTAAAAAATCTGCCAGAGCTGAAAGGTTTGGCGGGAAAGAAACATCAGTTAACAGTGCCAGCAGTATTAAACTGAATGTAAGTGTAAACTTTACATAATTTTTGCCATCTAATGTTTAATCTTTCAGAATCCAACACCAACTCTGGATCTCTTGAATCAGCGAGCGGCCAGATTTGGTATTCCGATTGCTACTGAGAAAGAAAAAGAAGAAAAATTAATAAAACGCAAGGAACGATTTGGTTTGGCTTCAACAGCAACAGCCAATGGTGCTTCAGTTGGTTCTGAACAGGCCAAGGCAGCACGACTAGAACGATTCAAAACTACTATTAAATGATTTTAGGTTAAGATTAATATTATAGGTAAGCTAATTACTTTTATTTTTCACCTTAAAATTAAGACTACTTATTTTTTTTTATGTACCTATAATGACTTAAATTTGTGTTGACATTGTGCATTTTTCTTTGTTAAAGAAAGGACACTATTTTCCTTCAACAATTAATTTTCTTCTGATACCTTTTTGAAATATACCTAATTTTTTTTCCAAAGTCAGATGTTTAATTTGTTAATCTATTAACATTAACATTGTATATCAAATTATTATATCCTAAGTAGGTACATCAAATTATAATCTGTTTCTCAATATATCCTTTACATACTTGCAGCTTACAGCTGTATGCAACATCCTCTTTTAACTTAAAAGCGATTTTTAAAACTGGTACCTTTCAAAGAGGATGTCGCATACAGCTGTTAATTTTTTCGGTTCCACCAATTGTGGCATAGAACAACCCAATTTGGCAAATCATTGTATAATTTCAGCCCCTTGTTGACCTTTTATTAAAGTTTAAACACTAAGACTGCTACTAGGTGAATTCCTTACGTTATTAGCAGTTTATAGATAGTGTATCTACTAGTGTTATATGGGTATTTATTTTCTTATGCTTAGCTATAAAAAGTATGTAATCCACTTCTTTGATCTTTTCATGAATAATAAAATTAAAATGGGTCAAACTTCCAGGATCCCATTGTCTTCAGCAGCTACCCCTAATCTACCTACTTAACCTCCTTGGCCCTTCTTATTTCCTTTCAATCCCTTCTGATGTTCGTTTTTATGTTTTCACACATTCCACATAAAAGCATAATGCAAAAGCCCAGAAGAGATTTTTTTGGTTAGCATATCATTTGAAGGAAACCATTCTCACACTCAAGAAAAAAAATACTGCACAAAGGTACCTACACAATTAAAGTTATAAGTAATTAATTTATTTGTGATTTTTGGTCTATGTGAACAAAAATGTTGAGAGATCATGCCACATATTTAATTCATTTAATTGAGTATCTCGGCGACTTTCTTAAATGAACTGACACAAGTTTTTAATGCAAAATCAAATCAATTCAAAATATACTTTATTATCCGAAAAACAAAAATAATTTTTCATTGACAAAACTTTAGTTCCTAAATACTAGAGTAAAACATTTAAACAAGTGACTAAATAAAGTAATTAGGTATAACAGTCAATTTTTTTTTTTGAAAACAATCTTTATTTAAACTTTCATACATTTTTCATTTTTATAATAATACATTTATTTCTCAAATCAGTGCTTGAAGCTCTGGCCTCAAAAAATTTACATAAACTATGCTAATTAACAGTGATGGACTTATTTCTATTTAAGTAATTCCTAAATGTAATTTGACTTCCTTTATAAATTTATTGTATTTGTTATGATTTCTAATATTTTCCGGTATTTTGTTGAAAGATTTCGATGCCTGTACAATTGGGTTCTTTATTCCTATATTTGTTTTAGAAGTATTACAATAGATATTATTTTTGGATTTAGTATCATGGCTTTGTATTTTATTAGTTATTGCGATATCTATATTACATCTTTGGTATTTGTTTAGAACTTTATACATAAATTTCACTTGCTCTAATTGTAAAACTGTCTCCAAATTTGGTATTCTCAATTCTCTATATAATTTTTCGGTATAAGTCATCCAATGGTAACCATAAAGAATTTTTAATACCTTGTTTTGGAGTATTTGAACTGTGTTGAAATTTGTTACCCCACATGTTCCCCACACTGGCATTTGGTATCTAAAGTGTGATTGAAAGAAGGCATTGTATACATTGGATTTGGTTTTATTCGACAAATAATTTCTGCATTTGTATATTACTGGTATCATAGATAAAATTTTATTAGAGAGATTGCTTATATGTTGGGTCCAGTTGAGGTTATTGTCGATTATTAATCCAAGGTATTTTATATCTTGAACTTTTTCCAGGATTAGGTTATTTATTTTTACTTGTATATCGTCAACTTGTTTATTTTTTTGTTTTAAAAGTATATATTTGGTTTTGTCAATATTTATTTTTGATTTATTATAGTATAGCCAATTGAGATATAAATTCAAATCTTTATTCACCATGTTTTTCAATGCCTTCTCTTCATCACCCTCATACACCAAGACGGTGTCATCAGCAAATGTGAAATACCTAGCCCTGAGGTTTGGAAATTTGAGATTTAGAACATAAAGCGAGTATAGCAGAGGTCCTAAGACAGATCCCTGTGGAACTCCGTACTCATTGCTAAGTACCTCACTTTCTGCTCCGTTAAGCCTGACATATACTGTCTTCTATCAGTTAAATAGGTTTCAATAATACTATGTAAAGTCCCCCTAAATCCCATATAATAAAGTTTTCTCAGTAATATATATATGCTCACCACATCAAAGGCTTTTCGTAGGTCCACAAATACTGCTATAACCATTTTTTTATTGTCAAGTGCCTGAGATACATAATTTACAAAGTCTACTGTTGCACTAAGTGTGCTACTATTCCCGACGAATCCATACTGATACTCATCGGTGGCGATATATTTATCAATAAACAATGACATCCTAATTTTTATTACTTTTTCTACTATTTTTGAAAATACACTTATTACCGATATTGGTCTATAATTATTCAAATTTTCCCTACTACCTGCTTTAAATATTGGGCTTATTCTACTTACTTTTAATTCTTTTGGAAATACTCCATCTTTTCCTCCCCTTTTCTTGCAATTTAAATAACAATGCCCGTTCAATTTTTTTGAGACCGGTAACGCCAAATGAAGTTCTGGAAATTGCTAATAAACTGAAGAACAAGCATAGCAGTGGGATAGATGAACTGCCAACAAGTATTGTAAAGATAGCGGCCCCAGTATTAAAACATATATTGTCATATATAATTAACAATTCTTTTACTTTTGGAGTGTTTCCGGATAACTTAAAGATTGCCGTCATTAAACCAATGTACAAAAGGGGTGATCCGGAAAGTCTAGACAGTTACAGGCCTATAAGCTTACTGTCCGCGTTCTCTAAGTTTTTTGAACAAGCAATGAATATCAGGTTAATGGATTTTTTAACTGACTGTGACATCTTTAGTAACTGTCAACACGGCTTTCTAAAGTATAGATCTACACAAACGGCGATCTTCGAATTTTTAAAACATGTAATGAATCACATTGAAAATGGAGAGTTGGCGCTCGGCATGTTTTTGGATCTATCCAAGGCCTATGACTGTCTAGACAGACATTTACTCATTAGAAAATTGGAATTATATGGTATTAGGGGTAATGCTAAAAAATGGCTAATTTCATACTTACAGAACAGAAAACAATGTGTTAGTATAACAAAAAACGGGAAAACATCAAGATCTAACATGTTGGAAAACAATATCGGAATAGCACAGGGTAGTATTTTGGGTCCTCTTCTGTTTATTGTTTTTGCCAACGATTTGTCTGCTGTTATCACTGAACCATTTCAACATATTGTAAAATATGCAGACGATACAAATCTAATTACAGGAAGTAAAAAAATAGCGGATGTAATTTCGAAATCAAAAATCTTTCTTGAGTTGGTCACAGAGTGGTTTTATAGGAATAGGCTGGTTCTGAATAAAGAAAAAACAAATGCTATTGTTTTTAGCACAAAACAGTCAAAAATAATAAAACCCGAAACGATTGAAATAAACAATTTGGACATTTCAGTCTGTGATAATGTCAAATTCTTGGGAGTTTATATTAATGAGTATTTAGACTGGTCATATCATATAAATAGCACTGTGAAAAAATTAAACTCAATTTGTTATGGTATACGAATACTAGGAAGATACATGGATGAAAAAACATTAAGAATAACTTACCTGGCAAATTTTGAATCAGTGTTGAAATATGGGATATTTTTTTGGGGGAGGCATAGTTTGGCACAAAGCGTATTTGTCGCGCAAAAACGGGTAATAAGAGTAGTTAAAAAGAAAAAGTATTTAGAAAGTTCTAGAGGTGAATTTAAAAACTTAGGAATAATGACTGTTTATGCAATGTATATTTATGAATGTTTATTGTTCTTTGTTAAAAACAGGGAGCGTTTCGGAATTAAATGTCAAAGCAGATATGAAACGCGAACATTGGAAGTGATGTACCCAACACACAAACTTACACTGACTGAAAGATGCCCTCACTATATGCGTTTGAAGTTATTCAACGCCTTGCCTCAAGAATTAAAGACAATAAGTGCATCAAGGATATTCAAAAAACGCCTAAGGAAATACTTGGTGGAATTAGAACCGTATAGTTTAAAAGATTTTTGTAGTAATTTGTAAAATTGAAGCAGCATTTGTTTTCTGACGCCGTTTCACTTTGTGTCCATGTTCCATGTAAACATAATTTGAAATATAGCTATTTTAGAATTTTATTGACAAGATTTGTTATAATGGTTATAAGATCACCTTTAAGGTTAATTACATCCATCACTGTTACCCCGTCATGCCCTGGAGCTGAATTTCGCTTTAGATCTGATATGATTTTATCGATTTCCTGTACATATATTGTATTTTCTTGAGTTATGTCTTCAAATTGAGGTTCATGATTCAGTAATCCTATTTCATCATTCAGCTCCCTGACAATTTCTTTCCCTATTTTCGAGAAATGAGTATTCAGGTGGTTCACAATATCATTTATATCCTCAACTGTACCTAGATGTCCTACCTGTAATTTATCAATGTGTGTTTCAGACTTTTTTTCTTTGAAAAAACTATTCACAAAATTCCATTGCTTTTTTACATTAGTCCCTGTTTGCTCCCATTTATTCCTGAAATATTGGTTTTTAAGAGTTTTTATTTTGTTATTAATTTTATTTTTTATTGTTTTAAAATCGTGTTCTAGTTTTTGATCATTTGGACTTTTAATTTTATTTTTATATATTTTATCACGTTCCTTCATCATCTTAATTATTTCTTCGTTTACCCACTCATTATTTTCTCGGATTTTAATTTTTTTAGTAAATTCTGTATCTTTTTTGCAGGTCATTATAAAATTTATTAGGTCATGAAATGTGTCAATATTTGTGTTGGTAATATTTTCCCGAAAAGTATGTTGGAAATTTTTATAATCTATTTTTTTAATTTCATGTATAATTTTCTTTTTGTAGATTTTTATATTTTCTTTAATTTTACATTGCAGAAATTTATGGTCTGAGAGATCAGTATGCTCTACACTGACTGAATCACACATTATATTAACTTTTTTATCTATTAGCACATGATCTATGATCATGGCCGGATTAAGCTTTCATGGGGCCCAGGGCTAGTGAAGTTTTAGGGGCCCTTCATAAATTAAATGCAAAAAAATATACAGGGTGTGCCACGACATTTTTCCCAGAATAACTTAGGAACGCATCATTCAATATAGGTAACAGAATTTTTGAGTATGTGGGTAACTTTTTATGCCACTTCTACCATCGTCATCCAATTTCACCACTTTCGCTTCAATTTCGGTCAAGTGACGTTAACTTTCAAATCTTTAATGTAACTCATAGTATATTATGGCATTTTACGTTAGAAAATTAAATTACAAAATCGTCAATGCTATGTTTGTTAAGGCTTTGTTAAAGAAAATGATAAAAAATTATACAGTGGAACATACGATTATGCGTTCCGAAATTATCATTTGGGAAAAACCGCGTGACACACCCTGTATATAAAAAAAACTATAAAGTGTGTTTTTTTTTAAAGATAATTCCCCAAGTCAAAAATCTAGTAACTACGTTGGTAACACAAGCCTTTTCTATATAAAAAATTAGAAAGCATTGACAATTTTACATTGTATTGCCAACATAATGTCATTTTGAATTTTATCTTAAAAAAAAAAACAAGCTTTATTTCTGATATAACAGTCTGACACTGCTACACCTATTATCTATTCACAATCCGATATCCAAAGGTAAAGGTAAAATTTAGCACCTTTTAGTGCTATTTGATAGGGAAAGGTGATTAATTTACCTTTACCTTTGGACTGCGGATTGTGAATAGGATATACATGTTTTACAAAATTATGTCAAAACATCTTTTTTCTACTACCTTGCGTAAAGTACTCACTTAACGCACTATTCAGAAGACGTAAAATTTCTCTTCAAGCACTAGTGCGTGAAGTAGTTCACTTCACACACTAGTGCGTACTGTTATGTCAATGACAGATGTCGACCTGTCAAATTACTATTTTTCTGGTAAATTACTTATACTTTACGCACTAGTGCGTGAAGAATTTGTCTAAAATAATTTTTTTATACATATTTGATTGGTAGTAGAAAAAATTTTGTATGCAATATGTGCGTAAAGCACCTTTCTTCCCTCATGTGATTGTCGCACTCGCTTTCGGCTCGTGCGTCAAAATTCACATTCGTGAAAAAAGGTCCACTTTATACACTTGTTGCATAAATAACTATTTTTCTCTACCAATCAAATAATTCAAATATGTGTAAAAAAATAAATTTAGACAAATTCTTTACGCGTGCGTGAAGTAATTTACCAAAAAAATAGTAATTTGACAGGTCGACATCTGTCATTGACATTACTTTATGCACTAGTGTGTGAAGTGAACTACTTTACGCATTAGTGTAGTGTGTGAAGAGAAATTTAACGTCTTCTAAATAGTGCGTAAAGTGAGTAGTTTACGCACGGTAGTAGAAAAAAGATAGTGTGCAATACGTGTGTAAAACACCTTTTTTACTCGTGTGATTGTCAAAATTCACATTCGTGAAAAAGGGTTCACTTTACACACATTTGTTGCATAAATAACTATTTTTCGTAGGTAACTTAAGTTTACCTAAGAAATTCTTGTATGACATCAGTAAATTCTAATACCTCCAGAATGTCTCTTTCTATGCTTTAAATGCTTTATTAAGGTATAAATTTACGATACAAATATACTACTTATTATATTAGGTATCTAAATGGTAAATGGTTTTATATACAACAGCACCTAGATGCAGAGCATCTGTATGTGCTTCTAACTTACTTCATATATATATGTTATTTCCATAGGAATACAAATTTTTCGAATGCTGAGAATTTAAGTATGTACGTTATTGTCATCAAATCAAAGCAGTTTTTCAAACAAAATCCGATTTGTCCAAACGAATGCCTTCGATCTTTTTGAAAACAGTTTTGGTTTTACAACATTCTTCACCTCATTGGGTAATAGGTTGTAAACCTTTGGACCCATGAAACCAATTGAGCGTCTATAAAATTCGCTTTTACATTCCGGAATCCTCAAAAGCTGATTTATGCGAAAGCGGGTGTTTTGATTATGTAACACAATAGGCTGCATCATGCGGTGTTTATGAATGTAACAACTAACTGAGTGGAAGAAAAGAGTTCTCAAATTTACTATTTCCTCAGTATATAGCATATTTGTGGGATACAGATGATCTTTTTTATAAATTATTTTCAAAATTTTATTTTGAACAATTTGTAGCGGCCTCAGCGCATTTTCATACATCGAACCCCAGATCGTGATACCATATGCTAACAAAGATTCCACCAGACTCCGATACAGTGTGACCAACATGTTTGATGACAAAATATTTCTAAGAATATAGAACCTATAAGTCAGAGATCTAATTTTTTTAGTCAGATATTCAGCATGAGCATTCCACTTCAAGTAACAGTCAATCATAACCCCAAGGTATTTAACGTGAGTGACCTCTTCAATTTTCTCGTTTACGTCTATTTCTATTTGGTTAAAAAGAGGGCGATTCAAACCAACTTTAGTAAGAGCCAAATAATTTGTTTTTTTAACATTAAGGGATAATTTGTGTATATTAAGCCATCTTTTAATTTTTATAAGGCCATATGTTGCATTTATTCTAGCTTCTTCCCAAGAGGATCCACTGA